AGCATATAAGAAAATGTATAGAGAACAGTATGGAGAATATACAGACTGGCATTAGGATGCTGAGAGTTAATAGAGAGTTTTAGATACACATTTAGTGTGTTTGCTTCTAATGTGAAACTGCGGTCAGCAGTTTGTGGTTAGAAGTTGAAGAGACTTTCAGCTTTTTAGATCTATGTTGCCTTTCACCTGAAAAAAGTCAACATGTGCGCTACCATCTTGAATTATACAAAGGATGAAAGTCCTTCATTTCAAACACAAAATGTGGTTAAAAGACTGGTTTCCCAGTAACCTGATAGGGCTGGTTATAAAGAAAAGACTTCACCTCACATATATTTATAGGACATACATGAGAACCTTCAAACAGGAAGGAAAGAAGCATTGAGGGAGTTGAAGTACCTGACACCGCCTCACCTGAAGTTCAATGAAGAAATGGTTTCCGTGTTTACATAGTCTGATGTAAACACGCGGGAGGTTGGGAGAACATGAGATAAGCATAGGAAACCATGACGCAAAGCGGAGTGGTTTCCAGCTAATCGAGTGTTCTCCCAACCTCCCAAGTGTTTACATCAGGCTATGTAAACACGGAAACCATTTCACATTTCTTTTATAAAATAACTAATAAGGGGAACGAAAACCGTGTTTACATACGCTCATATAAAATGGTTTTATGGCCAATCAGAGCGTGCGTACTATTTGAATTATTTTATAAATGTGGACAGCACACAGTGAGCATGACTGCTGGAGTCTGGTCACGTGACTCCTAGACATTTGCAGTCATACGTATTCAGAAACAAACATGGATCTAAAACTCCCTGATAAATTTTTTGTTATAACCAATAACCAATAACCAATAATTACCACCAATAACCAATAGAGTGTCAAGCCACACTATTACCAGTCAAGCTTTTCTTTTTGTAATGGTAATGTATAAATAATGGAATTCGAAAGCCTCTGCATACGTTTCTTATTGTCGAATTGCAGTGGAATATTTACGATACAAATTTTGGCGCAATTATGATTTGGATGGTGAAAATGTTAGCATGTAGACTTCGTTTGATACTAACGGTGCAAAAGCCTTACTAGTGCTGAGACAAATTCTCACCAGCGCAACTCACCAACACAAATTTGTCTTTCTGGTAAGCTTGGAATAACTGATCATAGGAAAACATTTGAACTGTAGTTCTCAATATCATTCCCCTGAAAAACGAGATAGATGAAATTATGAATGGTCTTAAAAAAACGAATTTCTCTGACGCCATTATTTTGTGACAAATAAACAATACAAAATAGTCTTTATATCGTGCACTAGCGTTCTTACCATTTCAAGAAGTGTTCTTTAACGTCAGAGGACTCAAAACCTGGAAAAGTTTTGTTTGGGACAAACTGGAAGGTGAACCGTTCTTCTTCGTCCGCCATTTTGGTTGTTTACTCGTGCATGACAGCCCAACCTCTTTCCCAGGG